GGCTACCGAATGCAACCTGCCCACACGGCAGAGTCTGGCAAACTCCCCATGGTGTACCCAATATGCCAAATACCAGTAACAATGATGGGTCTTATTCTCCTAAAGAGCCTTGAATATAGCACTTTCTTAAAAATCTCAAGGCTAGGATGAAGGAGACGTTACTGGGCCCTACTTGAGGCAATCGACGAATCAATAATTGAGAGCACATTTGAAAAAAGTACAAATAAAAATGAGATAGAGTATTTAAAACCCTGATGATTAAACTCAGTTGGGAGTGAACATAAATAAATCTTTGTCCACTCAAGTTCATTGATTGATTTTTTTAAATTAAAATTCTCTTTTTCTAGCTTAACTTTCTTTTATGAGCATTTTTTTTACATATTCAGAATTTTGCTCTGTGATTTTCTTGAAACAGTTCAATACTTTGTAGGCACAGCATAAATTTAATTTTATTATCTCTCCTCTGCCCCATAGTATCTTCTAAGTTTCTACTGGCAAACTTCAAATTAAACGGGCCATGAGAAAATACAACTACTTAATCATCTATAATGTAAGTAAATTATTTTACTTAATATAGAATTTTTAAAGAAAGTTTATTCAGACTCAGAAACCATTAACAAGCATGTTTCCACTTGATGCTTTTGGAAGTAAAGCTTATAAAGATGGTGAGTGATCACCACACAGAGCAATTCTTCATAACAGCATTTATCAAGAAATTGCAAATTTCAATTAAGTAGTGCCAGATAATACTGTATAAATAAAAATAAGAAGATCTTGGTAAAAATATCTTGATATAATAACTGCATTCTTATCTCCCTCTTTCACACAGGTGGAATTGAGGCACAAATAGATTTCCCCAAGATACAAAGTCAGGTGGTCAGGGAATCTGCTCAGAGTCCAGACTCTTATTCTTATAATATGGGGTGCATTGGATTAGCAGTAAATCTTAATCCTAGTATGTCAAAAAGCATAGAAACCACAAGAGTTAATTATTATCAAGGACATTTCACATGATGTATTCTTTGTCATATACTAGAACAGATCTTGTCACCATTAGAAAGTATTCTCTGCTAACAAATTGAAAGAATTGTCAGAATGACTGCTACCCAAAGCATTATGCAACACTATACAGTAAAATCCACATCAAATTTTGAATGGCCTTTCTCAAGAACAAAGAACAAACATTGCTGCAGTGTGTACTGAACCATGTAATTCCCTAACTAGATAGGCAATTCTGAGCAAAAAGAACAAGGTGACTGGAACCAAAAGAGACCCTCAGACTAATAAAACAGAATTCAGAGAGCATTAGGAAACCCTCAGTGGAATAGAAAATTAATTTATGACAAAGAAGCTAGGTACAAAAAGAGGAGAAAAACAAGTCTTCCACAAATTAAAAAAATAAAATATTAAAATATTAAAAATATTTGAAAATTTGAAAAATTAAAATAGCCATATGAAAATAACAAAAAGCTGGATATTTTTATAACACACTATAGATAATAGTTAAATAAATATGCATCAAAGACCTGAATATTAGGTTCAACTCCACAAAATACATTGAATAAAACATAGGATGAACTCCCACGATACTGACAGCAGAGGTGACTTCCATAATTCCACTGGAAATCAAGTGTCCAACATATTAGATGACACAGACAAATAAAAATATAAATATATATAACAAAATAAGAAAAATGTAACCTTGTCTTTTGCTACATATTAGATGTGTCTAGAGGTTATCACGCTAAGTGAAGTAATTCATAGGGAAAGGAAATATGCCAGCTGATAGATATCACTCATAGGTGACTGTCCTCCTGTTGCTCATCAATTTGCTCGAGTGGGCCCAGCAACATCTCCATTTTGAGACTTGTTGTTACTGTGTTTGGCATATTGCATACACCACAGGTAGCTTGCTAGGCTTTGCTGTGTGGGCGAGATACTTTTGGTAGCTTGCCAGGTTCTCCTAGAGGGGGTGGAGGAATGGAACCCGGCTTGGCCTAGCTGGCTGTGTTCAAGGCAAACGCCCTACCGCTGTGCTATCAATCCAGTCCCACTCATAGGTGACACATAAAGAAATTGAGAAAGGGAAGGGAGAGTGTCCACTGGAGAAGAAAATAAGTCTTTCAACTCTGAAAACAAACTGAGGTTACTTGTTGCAGACTGGGGTGGAAAGGGATGTAAATAAGTATAATGACATTGGAATTGGTTGTGTGGGGTGGGGGGGTGGGGGGTTCTACTGGCACTCGGCCAGGAGTAGAGGTGCAGTAGTTCTGTAAACCTCAAAGGAGAACTACAAATAGCCAAAACTGCACATAAAAGATGTCCTACATCACTAATCACCAGGGAATGCAATCAGAACAATGAGATATCATATCACACCACAGACACTAGCATCCAGAAGAATAAGAAAAACAAATGCTACATGGACGTGGGGAGAAAGGGATTCTCATTCACTGCTATTTGCATGTCAACTGGTCCATCATTTTTTAAAAACAAGGTAAAAGGTAAGGTAAAGGCCCTCCCGTTGATCGTCGATTTGCTCGAGCGGGCCCAGTAACGTCTCCATTGGAGACTTTGTTGTTACTGTGTCTGGCATATCAAATACTCTCGGTAGCTTGCCGGGCTCTCCAAGAGGGACTGAGGAATTGAACTCGGGTCGGCCATGTTGGCCGCGTGTAAGGCGAACGCCCTACCCGCTGTGCTACGGACATTTAAGAAACTAGAAATGGAGCATATGACTCAGCAATACCAATCCTGGAAATATACCATAGGGGCCCCAAAACACAATGCACAAAAATCATCTGCACTCCTATGCTCATTGCAGAAGTATTAAAAATAGCCAGAATATGTAAATAACTCAATCTCCCTAGAACAAATGGGTGAATAAAGAAACTATAGAAGATCTCATGATAAGTGAAGTAAGGCAGAAGAAAGATCACTATTAAGTGGGATTTAGAATAACTTGAGGAAATGCATGTCATTTAAAGGGGGGAAGACCCAGATCACCGAGGACCCCACAATACAGAGAAAAGGAAGAAGGATAGGGGGAGAAGAGACAGATGAGAAGCAGCAGGAAGCAAAGGTCAGTGTGTGTAGGAGTGCTAAGAAACGATGGAGCTAAATATCCAAGCCAGAGTCAACGACACTGAAATCAGGGGACCGAAATTTAAAGAAACAAATTGACAAAGGTGTCAGTTGAGATGGCGGGCTGGGCTGATGCTCCGGATGGAAGAGGGAACCTGGGGAAGATGAACCTTGGGGTGGCGTGGGCGATGGAACACTGAATGCCTAAAACCCAACTGTGATGCCCAAAAGGAGAGGTGGCGAGGGAGGGGAGAGAGAGAGAGAGAGAGAGAGAGAGAGAGAGAGAGAGAGAGAGAGAGAGGGAGAGAGAGAGAGAGAAACAAGCAAAGGAGGGAGAAAAGTGTCTGCCATATAGGCAGGCTGAGGACTGGGGGTGGGGGCAGGAAAACTGGGGTCATTGGGGGTGGGAATCGTACACTGGTGGAAGGATGGGTGTTGGAACACTGTATGACTGAAACCTGATCACGAACAGCTTTGTAACTTTGTATCTCATGGTGACTCAACAAAAAATAAATTAAAAAACAAAAAAAAAACCCAACTATGAACAACAATGTAATTCATGGTGCTTTCACAAAATAAAAAGGGGGGAAATTATGGTACATCTATACAGTGGAATACAACATATACAGTGTAATACAATACAGCCACTAAATAAAATTAAGTCATGAAATTTGCTTATAGTTGGATGGGCATAGAGAGCATAATCTAAGTGAAGTGAGTCAGAGGGACAGAGTCTGAGGGACTGACATAGAATGATCACACTCTTTTGGAATTAAAAAAAAGAATGAAAATGACACTCAAAGACAATAGAAATGAGCGTTAGTTCAGGAAGACTGGCTCATGGTAGAAAACGTGCCACAGGGGACTGGGGTCAGGGAGTGCTGTTAGGACAAAGAAGGGACCACTGTGGCAGTGAGAGTTGGAAATGATCACTCTGGACAAGAACCGGGTGCTGAAGGGAGGTAAGTGATATAGGCATGAAGCCCCTTCAGCAACGGAATCATGCATCACAGTCCTAAAAGGAAAAAAGAAAGAGAAAACAGAAAAGCAGGCTGGGGGGTGGGGCTAAGAAGAAAACTGGGGTCATGGGCGGCAGGAAATGTAGACTGGTGAGGGATGAATTATGGAAAATTATATGACTGAAACTCAATCATGAACACCTTTGAAACTGTATCTCCTGGTGATATAATAAAAAATAGCAAAATAAACAAAAATAAAACACTTTATTTGTTTATTCATAAAACAGTCTAGTTTAGCCTTTTACTTGCTAACTAGTATGAAAATTTTGTAAGGACCTCATAATGTAGTCTCCAACAGAAGAGTCAAGGTATCAGCCTTCATCAGCCCTTAGGGAAGAGGAGGACTAAAAAAAGCCTGGTATTCCTTCTTATCCAGGGTAATGAAGTCAAATTCCTTCAACAATAATTTCACTTGTCGCATCTAAAAGGAGAAAATGTCTAAATCTTTTGAGTAATTGCCAGATTTAATTTCCAATTCTTATCAAGATGAGAAAGTTAAATATACACATAACTAAATCCATATCTATCACGTGGTTATTTTGAAAACCACTTATTCTATTAAGTTGTTAAATGCAAGTGAATCTTTGTGTTTCTAGGATAGAAAAAGGGAGGCAAGATGAGAGGTAAGCCATGGAAAATCATTCCTGTGGAGAGTAACATTAAGCATAGAGAAACCCAGGCTGGCAACTCCGGCTATAGCTGGGGTCAGCTGCAGCCCCCCCTTCACATTGCTGCAGAGCTAGAAAGAGATGAGTGCAGCTGGCACCATGCTCATTAGGGTAGCTTATCTGGATGCTTGCAGAAATCCTCAGGAAGAAAGGTCTGGCCTTTGCCTTCAAATTGCTTTGATACTGATGTTTTTCTCTTTTCAATACAAATTGAATATCTAATGCTTACTTGGGATAATGTGTAGACTGAATGAAGGGCAGAATCTCAGAGTCTTGACTAGGTGGAGGCAGTAGTAAATCTCGAAAACGTTCTGTCAAAAAAAATTAACATAGTGCTGTTAAAATGTTATTAATATTTTAAAATTAAAATTATTTCACAGTATTTTATTAACTATTTTGACTTTATCTTTTTATTAGAAATTTTAGTCACTCTTTTATGGCAATTTATTTCACTGGATTGACTAAATTATATGTATAGGTGTGATTAATGCAATAGCAAATAGAAATATTATTTAGTGTAAACTAATAAAAATAATAAAACTTATAGTTGAAAATCGCTCCACCAACTAAGAAAGGCCATGCACCACCACCCACGGAATCGAGAAAGAGCTATCAATCTGTCAATCCTGTCCGTGTCCGGGCCGGGTGAGGTTTCCCGTGTTGAGTCAAATTAAGCCGCAGGCTCCACTCCTGGTGGTGCCCTTCCGTCAATTCCTTTAAGTTTCAGCTTTGCAACCATACTCCCCCTGGAACCCAAAGACTTTGGTTTCTCGGAAGCTGCCCGGCGGGTCATGGGAATAACGCCGCCGCATCGCCAGTCGGCATCGTTTATGGTCAGAACCACGACGGTATCTGATCGTCTTCGAACCTCCGACTTTCGTTCTTGATTAATGAATACATTCTTGGCAAATGCTTTCACTCTGGTCTGTCTTGCGCCGGTCCAAGAATTTCACCTCTAGCGGCGCAATACGAATGCCCCCGGCCGTCCCTCTTAATCATGGCCTCAGTTCCGAAAACCAACAAAATAGAACCGCGGTCCTATTCAAAAATGGGGCTGGAGCGATAGCACAGTGGGTAGGGCGTTCGCCTAACAAGCGGCTAACATGGCCGACCCGAGTTCGATTCCTCCGCCCCTCTCGGAGAGCCCGGCAAGCTACCGAGAGTATTCGATATGCCAGACACCGTAACAACAAAGTCTCCAATGGAGACGTTACTGGGCCCGCTCGAGCAAATCGACAATCAACGGGAGGGCCTTTACCTTTACCTTTACCTATAGTTGAAAATTAAAACACACATGGCCAATACATATACCAAGAGATTAACAATTTCATCAGTAATGTGGGAAAATGCAGATGAAAAACACCACCAGACAGCATTCACATGTGGCATTCAACTGACAGAACTTAGTCTCACAAGACTGGGTTTTAAGGAGAATTTAGAACAACACCCACCAGCTCTGAAATATTTATGATGGACACAGTTCCCACAGTAAATTAAAAAAAAATGCATTATTCCTTAAGCTTAACCTTTGTTCATACAACGAGCCAGTATCTTTGTTTGCAGGCATTTGCTTTTCTAAACTTTTATCAATGTCTCAGATAGCAAGTAAAACAATGCTCTGTCAGCATTGTTTATAGCAAGATATTAAAAACAACTTAACTTTTCACCAGAATAGTAGAATGAACTATTATATATCCACACAATAGACTATTAAGTCAAATGAAATTTAATGTAGAGCAGAGAAAAAGTCTGCAGATTACATATAATAAATATTATTTTTTATTGAATGAAAACTGATGAATATAATTTTACATATACTTGATACAAAGCAAATCACAAAATAAGAAATAGTTTACGTAACTCAAGTAATGCATATGGTTATATGGGAAGAAAGGGAGGTGCTGAGTAGACTGAAATGACACATGTGTAAAAGGGTGAGCAACAGCATTGGGAATCCCAGTCTCTCAACACTAATAAAATGTTATTGTCGAGTGCTCTCGGTGGCTTGCCGGGCTCTCCGAGAGGGGTGGAGGAGTCGAACTCGGGTCAGCCATGTTGGCCGCTTGTAGGGCAGGCGCCCTACCCGCTGTGCTATCGCTCCAGCCCTCAGGGTGGGAGAAGCATGCTAAAAGTAGTCTATAGACCAAACATGATTGCCACTCAATGCCTCTCTTGCAAAACACAGTACCCAAAAGAAGAGAGAGAGAACAAGGGGGAATGCCCTGCCACATAGGCAGGATGGGACGGGGGGGGGGGGGGGTAGGATGCTGGGACCCGTGGTGATGGATGACGGGCACTGGTGGAGGGATGGGCACTTGATTATTGTATAACTGAAACCCAAGCACAAAATTTGTAAGCCTATTACTGTACCTCATGGTGTTTCACTAATAAAAAAAGAAAAAAAAAGTAAAAAAAAATGTTATGTGTCTTTTGCAGAATAGCACACATTCAGAGACTAGACAAGACAGGATATTTTTTTGTTTTGTTTCTGAGTGACACCTGGAGTGTTCGGGGCCCTCTCTCAGCTGTGCACTCAGAGATCACTTCTGGTGGGCTCAGGGGACCAGATGTGGTATCAGAGATTAAACCCCACTTAACCATGTGCAAGAAAACTGCCTTACCCACTGTACTGTATCCCAGCCCCAAGAAAGGGTATTTAAACTTTAGATAGCCAGTTTTATGCACAAAACTTCTCAGAAAGTATTAACTAAGTCAGTCAATAAAAATATCTCTATTGGCAAGATATTCTGATCATTGCTCACTTATACTTACCCTAAAGGCAACCAAGCATATTTTTATTTTATTGCAAAAGTGATGTATCTTTTGGCTTTTAATTTTTATTTCTTAAGATTTTATTTATTCGCCTACTCCAGATGGAATCCCAAGACCAAGAGCTTCCACAAGCAAGGTCTAGGTATGCGGGTTCTGGACTGAATCTCCAGGTGGCATGGTGGCAGAGGACCTGGGCTGTTCCTCCCCGGGTCCCCGCCCATGCAGCAGATGGGCTGTCATGCCCACAATTTGCCTCCGGGCACCATCTTAGCACACCAACAGCCCTGGCCCAGAGACACAGCAGAAAATCCCAAAAGACACTACAGCAGTAGATGTCTCTCCAGGCCCCATACTGAGTCAATATCACCAGGATACCTGGCTGGAGCTATAGCACTGCAAGTAGGGTGTTTGCCTTGCATGCAGCCAACATGGCTGACCCGAGTTCGATTTCTCTGCCCCTCTCAGAGAGCCCAGAAAGCTACGGAGAGTATCTCACCCGCATGGCAAAGACTGGCAAGCTACCTGTGACGTATTTGATATGCCAAACATAGTAACAACAGAGTCTCACAATGGAGATGTTACTGGGCCTGCTCGAGAAAACCGATGAACAACGAGAGGAGAGTGACAGTGACCACAGACAGAGCACGTGTGCTCTCCCCTCTTACTCCAGATGGAATCCCAGTGACAGAGAGCTTCCACAAGGAAGTCCTCCTCCCCCAATATGCGGGTTCCAGGACCGAATTTCCAGGCCGCATGGTGGCAGAGGGCTGGGCTGCCCCTTCCCGGGTCCCCGCCCACTCAGTAGACTGACTGTCATGCCCACAATTTACCTCCCGGGTGCCATCTTAGCGAACCAACAGTTCTGGCCCAGAGACTCCAACTGAATCCCAAAATGGGTTAGTGTCATACAGAGATGTCTCTGGAACCCAACCATTTACAATCTAGAAATTAACATGTGCAATCGTGGCCGTGAAAACTCTCATGATGTTCAAAATGAACAATGGAAAATACATTATCTAGTTTCTGACCCTGGCCGGTAGGCTTGAATGGTGGTGAGAAATTTCGAGCAAAACATAATACCCAAAATTAGAAAGAGAGTATTGGGAAAAGAGAGTATTGGTGAAGACTGTGATGTGGGTGGTGGAAAATGTGCACTGGTGGAGAGATGGGTGTTCCGTCATTGTATGGCTGAATCTCAAATATGAAAGCTTTGTAACTCTATCTCACAGTGATACAACTAAAAAAGAGAAGTAATGTGGAGTTCATGCCAAATTCAATCAGCTTAATCAATGGCTGATGAAAAAGCAGCACTCCTGCATTATTAAAAAAATTTATTTATTTTTATGTTAAAATATTGATCACCTGATCACGTGACTTCCTGTTAATCATCAGTTTGCTCTAACGGCGCCAGTAACGTCTCCATTTGTCCCTGTCACGTGCTAGTGTAGCCCAATGGCATCTGTTCGCTCTGGGAACATGAAAAGCCTCAAACCGATCGTTCATGATCTTGATGAAGAAGTCTGACCATCTGGTAGGTGGGCAGCCACACGGTCTTTTGACATCCCGTGGAATCCTGTCAGTAACAGATCTAGTCCAGCGGTCGTCTTTAAATCTCATTACGTGACCAGCCCATCTGATTTTTGACACCTTGGCAAATGACACAGCGTCCCTAATTCTTGATCATCGATGGATGTCGGAACTCTGCATTTTTTCTTTCATTTGAGTGAAACGTGATATTCCAAGCATAGCTCTTTCAATTCCTCTTTGGGAGACCCGAACAGCGTTCCCATCCTGTTTGCGTAGGGCCCAGGTCTCTGAGACGTATGTTAATGCAGGAAGAACAGTGGAATCAAAGAGATGTGCCCGAAGCCAGAGGTTCTTCGTCCTCTTAGCTATTTCTTCAATGCTCTTGAAGGTGTTCCAAGCTGCTCGCTTCCTCCTGCGCAGCTCGGGTGCCAGGTCATTTGTCATGTTGACTTCTCGACCTAGGTACACAAAGCTGTTGCACTGGGAGATGGTCGTTCCGTTGAGAGCAAATGGGGTGTCAGGAACGAGGCTGTTTCTCATAAACATTGTCTTCGTAAGATTCAGCTGTAGTCCTACCTTTCCACACTCACGGTCGAAGTCGGCCAGAATTTGTGCCGTTTGGCTGATGTTTGGTGTTATTAAAACAATGTCAACAGCAAAGCGGAGATGATGTAGTTGTCGACCATCTATCTTCACTCCCATTCCTTCCCATTCCAGTCGTTGCATAATGTTCTTGAGGGTGGCACTGAAGAGTTTCGGTGAAATGGTATCACCCTGCTGAACCCCTCTCTTGACATCAATGATTACTTCTTTGTAGAATGGTGAGATCCTGGTAGTGAATCCTCAAAACAGCTCACGGAGGATCTTGATGTACTGAGCTTGAATGCCTTGATTGGCTAGGGCTTCAATGACTGCTTCCATCTCAACAGAATCAAAGGCCTTCTTTAAATCAATGAACGTTAGACAGAGTGGCATTTTGAACTCCCGAGAAACGTCAATGAGCTTGGTTATC